ACATAATTCACTTACTGTATCTAACAAACAAACTTTGGCATGAAAAGATATTTTCAGAAAAATTTGCTGTGTGGAATCAAATGTTGTACTTGGTTTCAAAGGTCTCCAATGAGAGCCAAATCCCACATTTCCCTAAAGGAATTACTGAACCAGTCTCTGGTAGAGTACTACATCCCTGTTAGATCCAAACTTGAAGGGAAGGAACCTCAGCCTGTCATGTTTGCAGCACAGGACCGCCCAGCCAGTCAGAGGGCACTGAAAACCACCCTGGGGGGAATTTCACTGCTCACATGGAAGTTTTTGTTTCATGACCCCAGCTGGACTCAGCTTCAGATAGCAAACATCACTGAACCAGGACTGAACAGGAGCAGGCACTGCAATGGCTCTGACTCCCACTGCTTTCTCTTACACTTCCTCAGTTTCTAAGGGAAGATGTAAAAGCTCAATGGCAGCAGAAAGCTCTGCTGAGGAAGGAACTGAGGGACTCGAGAAAAGGAGAACACCCAAGCTCAACTCCTGGAGGGAATTGCTGTGATACTACAGGAAATGTTACTTCATAATCTCTGAGTTGCATTTTCACATCATGGACAGTTCTGTCTTTTAATGGTTCATGGGGAAGAAGGACAAGGCTTGGAGAAGTGAGGTCCCATTAACACCACTTTGAATTCCCTTCCCTTCAGAGCACTTCAATTGGCTTTCAAATTTTCAGGTCTCTTGTTTTGATGTCCTTTCTCACAGTATCATCAAATTTTGTCTCGTAATTGTATTTGCTCATTTAAGATTTTCCTGGCAGTGTTGTTCTGCATCTTTCCTCCTGGGACCAAGAAATTTTGTAAACCAGCAGTAAAAATGCAAAGGGTTTTTGCACTCATGCCAAGATGAAAGTCTTCATTTTCTGCTTTGAAAACTGCAAACACATGGGAATCTTAAGAGGTTTAAAAAATATCAGGATGACAAGAAAGATGCAAACAATAGTTATTAGAAGTAGATCAGAATATTCCAATAACTGAAATGAGGAGGGGGAGACATTAAAAAAATATATTAAAAAAAAAAGGAAGTTATCCAATTAAACCATTACTTGAACAAGGCTGCTCAAATTTCCTGTCTTACTTGCATTCTTAGGAAAGAAAAAGTAAGCTTGGCACCACAATAGCATCATTTTAGAGGTGCTGAGGTTACTCTGGGAGCTGTTTCTTGCCCAAACAGCTAAGCTGTCTACCATCAATCTGCTTCTGGGGTAAATAGGATACTGGCTACTGTCCCAAACTCAAGCAGTACAAACAAACAAGGAAGAAAGCTATACTATATTTGTAAAGTAAAATAAGACCTTGCCTGGCTGGAGAGCTCCAGGGCAGTGCTGAGCCCCTGAACTTGCTGGGGACACTTCTCCTCTCCCAAGAGGTTGCACTTGCCTTTGAACTTTCAGCCATATAGGAAAAAAAGGCTGAGTTGAAATGTCAGCATCATCTTGGATTCAAATCAATCAGCTTGATGCATGATTGCAACGGCTAAACCACTTCACCCCTGCACTGCCCTCATCCATATGTTCTTTATATCAGCAGTCAGCAGACTGGGTGGCTCAGTGCATTCATTTCCTGTCCTGGGCTTGGGCTCCACTTTAAACAAAACAAAAACCCCCTGAAACTGGAAAATAAAAGTTAGTATCTAGTGACAGTTATATTCACCAGGCCGCTTTGCATCAAGTCTTTTTCTTCATCCAAGGAAGTTGCAAGAAACCCTTTGGGAAGGCCTGGTACAACTGGTGATTTTTGACTATCAACTCAATGAGAAGGTCAGTTCTACAAAACCAGTGAAGGAACTGGAGATCTTTCAAATAATGATGTACCTTGGATTGAGTAGAAAGCAAGGAAAGAAAAGGAAGAAAGCCCCAGGCAGTGTCAGCTTGAAAAAGGAAACAGGTTGGAAATTTAGCTCAGTTAATTAATGGCCCACTGAGAACAAAATCTCCATCCACCTCTAGAGTTTCCTCCAGACAGTGCTGCTGGTTATCAGTTTCAATGCAGGAATTAGATTCCCAGGATAATTTAAATCCAAAATTGTGCAGCTTTCAGTATTAATGTAGATGCCTGTCAGCTGGTGACACTGAAGTGGTGACTGTCTCAAGGTAAACTTACACTGAGGATGGATTTAATTGCATTTAACAGCTTGCTCTAGCAGAGGGGAGTTTTCCCACTGAAGGTGTGTTACAGCAAACCAGTCTCATCAGGAGTTTGTCATACTTTGGGGCTAGACACCCCCACTGAGCTGCTGCTTTTGCAAAAAAAAAAAGCTGACCTGTCATTTGGGAGACCACAACAAGTTATAGTATCAGAAATAGCTGCAGCCTCTGAATGGCTTCAAATTCTTTGACTTCTTTCCCTGGTTCACCCTCTCCCTGTCCTGTCTTCCCTCATAAAATGCTAAAAGAAATAAATTTTAAAAGGGCAAGGAAGGCTTGATGTAAAGGACAGCTAGTAAAAATAATCTATCCTCCAGATATGCTACAGTGGTTCCCCCAAAGACACTGCTCCAGAACAGCACAAAAAAGGAGCAAGTATTAACTCTGCTCACTGTGGGTTAAAGAAGGAATCAATAGACCTTACAGGCAGATTTATATCATCAGGATGCAAAGAGCACCATCAGCCATGCCCCTGCACACACAGCTCCCAGAACTCTTCTGTGTGCTTCATCAATCCATGCTCTGCTGACTTAATTCATCCCACTGAGGGAAACACACCCTGACTGTTCCAAGACCCATTGGGAAGGGAAGAGTTTCCCTTCAGTCTCTGGAACCAGGAGATGTTGCATGGAAGCTCAGAGCCACTGCAGCTGCCAGAGGATGGGAGGATTTGCAACACAGCAAGAAAGCAAGTTCAAAATAATGCAGGTCCAGGCTGCCTCCAGTCATACCTACCTGACATCAACTTCTAAAGCACCAGCTGCACATACAAATGAAATGAAATATTGAGGAGGAATCTAACTACCAAAGAAAAATGAAAGCATTTCGAGGTTCTGCCCTGCTAATTCACTGTGGCTTCATCACTTCACTGTTTTTGTTTTGCTTCAGTTTAGTTTTCTGTTTCCTTTTGTCTGCTGTTTCCAGGAAGAACTCACACAGTTAAGCATCCCACTCGCTCAGAGGAACCAAGCTTGCAGTAGGGGAGAGCACAGAAAGGAAAGAGTACAAAAGTGCCAAAAACCCTAAAACAGCCTATTTTTAGCTTTTTTTACTTTGATTTCCAAGTGACACTAACATTAAGAATTAACATAAGGAGTAAGTAAATATTTCCATTTTAAAATTGACAGCTTGAAGGGCCATGCAGACCACTATCACCAGTATTTACACTAAAAACTAAGTGGCCCAACCCTGCTGCACTAGAAAGGGATCTTTTTTTCCCCCCTCTTTCATTCAAGGATATGGGACTGTCAGTAGCACCAGATGTTTTAAGGAGAGGGAAAAAAAAGGTAAAAAGAATCTCACACATGAAAGTCAGGGTTTACTACTGGCTTTCTTCTCACACTCCACAGACCATATCCAAGCCCAAAAGAACAGTTCCACCTTGAAAAGTAACTGTATAAAATTGTCACCTCGTTGCACAGACCTGCTCCTGTGAGAGCGCTGCGGCTTTCTCAAACAAGCTCACGTTGGCTTTTTATTTCCACTGAACTCTGCTGAGACAGATCTGGCACTGCAGGGGGGAGCTGGAATCTCTCCTTTGCACCTCTAAGCTGCAATAATTCACACCTTCCCAAACCTACAGGCACGAACAGGCTGCACACAGGGGCTCCTCAGGTCACCAGGCACATCCTCAGCTCCGCCACCATCCTCAGCTCCCCTTTCCGTGCAGGGACAGCTGAAAACTCAAGCTGCACAAAGCAGCTTCTCTCTCAGGCTCACTTCTTTTAGTGTTATGTTAAAATGTAAAGCTCTCTCCTGCAGACTGCAACTTTGGGTAGTTTTGCCACTTCATAAGAGTCTTCTGGAGCTTCTGGGCAGCTATTGTTTCCTCAGCAGCCTGGAGCCAGCTGCTGTCTGCAGCCATCACTCTTTGGGACTGTAATGAGACAACTTCCTAGTCACAGATTTGCCTGAATTGTGTGATTGGTATTAAGATGTCACAGCACAAAGAAAATGAGCACAAACAGCACTCAGAGATGTTGGACACCCAATAACCCTTCAGCAGCCAGAGACAGGCTGTGTTGACCTGATGCAAGTGAACAGAAAACTCCAGGCTCAGTTTCTCCCATTCATAAGCTGCGAACTCCCAAGTCAGGTTCAGCAGATGCCTTAATGCCTAAACCTGATACTCAGTGGAGAAGCAGAACTTGTTTCAAATCCCCAGAAGTGACAGTTAAAGTAGAAAATGTTTGGAAGGAAAATGTAAAACATGCCTTATTGTGATAAAAAAATGAATATACTTTTCCTTCTGCTCTGGAAAGAGCCCAGTGTTTTCCTCTGAGTGGAGAGAACTGTGCACACACACTGTGCAACATGAATGTTACACCAGTAAGTCAAGGAGCAGGTAGAAAGGGGAACCAAAGGTATTGATTCAAAGCTCTCTGGGAGCATACATTATTTATGTCCAGATCTTACAGGCATAAAATGCTCAGAAGCAGTTTCCAGGGACCAGCTTTTCTTGGATACAGCAACTGATGGTGACAACAGGGACAGGGACAAGATAACACACGAAAAGGAGAAAGCACATTTTCTGAACACACCAGGGATGTCAAGAATGAGCACATCTCTAAACAGGTCATCCCTGATTCCCTTTTCTTTATTTCTTTCCCCCTCCCTGTTCAGGCCTGTTTTCAGGCATTCAGAATTATCTGTTTTCCAAGACCACCTTTCAGAGCTCGTGTATGATGTTCAGATAAAAATGGGGAAGGGAGCAGGTGATTTGTTCCTGTGTTTAAGAGTTTTAGGGCATATTAAGGAACAAACCCCAGCTCAAGGCAGCCAGTCCATCCTTGCTGCTCCATAAGGACAGAGGCATTGCTGATTACTCACCCTCCTCACAGTTGCTCCCTGTGAAGCCAGGACAGCACCTCCACTCCAGCGTGGTCACAGTTCTGTAGGACATTTTGTACGTGGGCCTGATGAGAGTCCTGTAACTAACACAAACAAGGAGTCAGCAGAATACAGTGACCTGCTCCAACAGTGCTGCTGCTAATCATAGCACATCTTCCCACCTGGATATATCCCAGAGCACCCAAACCCAGCCAAACCCAGCTACAGAAAAAGGAGTGACACAAAATATCAGCAAGGATTTATTAGAGCATGGATGTGATTTAACAGCTTTCATTTTCCTCCTTAAGCCCTCATGGCTCTTCCCCACACCTCTCCTGCTGCAGGTACCACCAGCAGCTGTGTGGAGATCTCACCACTGCAAAGCCCTGCAAGTAGCAGAGATGATGACTTGTTTCCCACACTCTCCCTTCATGTGGGCTTCTGTGACATTGAACAGAGGCTGACAATAGCCTTTCCTCACTCAGCAGTAATAGTTTCTCATGTCCCAGGTGCCTTCCCTTTCCCCACCACTCAGACCTGGGATGTACCAACACACCAACATGACAACTACATCAGGGACCTTCATGGAGCCTTTTCCCAGCTACCTGGCCCTGCCTCAGTTCTCCCCCATCTGAAATAGAGTCACACTCTTCTGGACCACAGCCAAGGTTCTGCAGGACAGGTTTGGGAGCTCTGTGAGCAGCACAGCATCCCCAGGGTCCCAGTTACAGCGCGGGCACTGCCATGCCCCTCTAAGAACTGGAGGGTGACCTGCAGACACAGCAGGGCTGTGCAAGGCACCAGTGATTCTGAAGTCAACATAAAACAGACAGCTGCATAAGTGACAGTTTCTCCTTTAAAACAGCAGCTCGTCAAAGCTGGCAACTCAGAGTTTTCCCTGTATACAGCCAAACAAGTCATTGCTGCTATTCATGAAGCTAAAAGCAAACACAGAAGTTGTACTCTGCAAGCTCCCCTCTAAATTCCTACCCTTACTTAACAGCCAAAAGAATTTGGCACACACAGGGAGAGTCTGAAGCTTTGGGATTACAGTGTTGCAGGCTGCAGTTTATGCTTGTCTCTTCAAGCCAGGCAGACACGAGCCCTGAGCACCCTGTCCCTGGGGAAGAGGCTCCTCCTGCTGAGAGCCAGAGGAGACAGAGACAGCCCCAGCTCAGCTGGGCACAGGGGGAAACGGAGCTGGAGCTTGCATGAATCTCATCCAAAACTGCTCAAAGGGAGGCAGGTGTACACCCAGGACAGCACTGCAGTGGCTGGTAGCTATTCCAAAGAGCAGTAACAAAGGCTTGCCAGGAGAGGCTGCCCATGTGTGCCTTGGAAAGAAGGGAGCAGCTCGTGGTTAGCAGAATCTTTGTGAAGCTGATTTCTCAGGAAGCTGTTTGCTGATGATTTGTGCCAGCTGCCAACCACAGAAGCTAAGTTCTCCTATAGCCACTGGAGAGGGTGGGCTGCACAAGCTCCCCCTGAGCACGGGGCTGCCTGCCCTGGGAACCGCCTCGCCCAGAGACAGAAGAGCAGCACTGTCTCCTGAGAACAGGATGTCCTCACCCCTGGAGCTGCCAAAAAGCACACCAGCCACTGCTAATGCCCACAGCTGTGATCCAGGCACTTGTCTGGTATGGGCTGCACAGAGCCAGCTCATCCCACCTATTTCTGTGCTCTTGCATCCAGTGGTGTTCAGGTGTCCACAGTCATGTGAGTTTGAGGACTTGGAGCACACTGATGTAGGCAGACCTTCAGTGCTCTTTCACAGAGGACCTAAGGCACAAAGACTGTGTCTTGCTGAGGGTCTCTCAGAATAGCTCTGGCAAAGCCCAGGAATTGAACCCAGGTCTCCCAACTCCCAATCCTGGCCTTGGACTCCAGACACATTTCCACACGTAAGCCCCAAAGCATCAGTCAGAAGTTCATGACTTTGTCACTAACACCACAGCTGGATTTGACCTTCAGATGAAAGTCTCCAGCCTTGTTACCAGTGTCCAGAGCCAGCGTGTCTCCAACCACACCGTGATTTTAAAACCATGTTTCTGCCAACACCAAGATGTTAAAACTCTTTCAAACTTCATTATGAAGTGTGGAGAGTGGCTTGAGCCAGACTGGAATTTTGGCAGCAGTTCTGTGTCGGGGAAGTAGCTCTAGTTTAATCCTCAAATGAGGGAGGACTTCTCAGGGCATGACAAGCGTGGAGCTCAGCTGTCACAGTCTACCACCCACCCTGAATTCCCTGGCAGTGTCCTGATGTGTGCAGCTCTGTTCAGCATCGTGCTCTCAGGCATCTGAAGTGGGCCCAGCCTGCAAGCCCAAGTTGTTCTGAAGTTGCTCTGTCCTTCATAGCATCATTTTTCCTCAATTTTGTGACATGGCACCAATTTTGTGACCTATGGCATCACATCATGCAGATTTATGATTGCTATTCCAGGAGGGGAGCAGAGAAAGCACCTTTAGTGAAGCATTACCACCACTTGACACTTGTAGTGTTGCAACTGAAAGAAATGAAAAAAAAATATATGGAAAAGGAGAATGAAGGAGGATACCTGTTAAAGATCAGAAGCCCCGCAATGAAAATATGTGGAAAACACAAGGGGCAGAAAAAAGGATTGGTAGCAAAATAGGGAAGCTTTTCCCTTGGATGTCCCTCAAGCCACAAACACTGGTGCAGGAATCTGCCAAAGCAGAGGGGAAGAAGTTTGGAGGAGTCACAAGCTTGCACTGCTCTGCTCCTCAGGGAGCCAAAGGATGTGCTCAGCATATAGCTCCCTTCAGCAGGAGAGCTCCAAACACTTAATGGAGGAGCAAATTACCAGGGTCTGCCACTGCAAGAGTCAGGAGTCATTTCCAGGGATTTTGCTGAGGCTTCACAACAAGATCTCAGAGAGTGGGGCAGCTCCCAGGGAAGAGCCCAGAAAGTTCAAGCAGCAGCCACTGCTGCTCCTAGACCAGAGCCAACACGTGGCTGTCCTTGGAGCTGCCTGATCCCTGTAGGATGAGCTACACGAGCTTGTCCACATGCAATTGTTATTTGGGAAATAGCATCTCCTGCTTGTGGCTCTAAGTGACTGCCAAGGAAGTGGAAATTTGGGGAAGGAGCATGAGCTGACTGATGAACTGATTTGGGAGTACAAAACTCTGAGTACTGGAGAGGTCAGGACACACCAAGGGATGGCAGCCAGCAAGTCTCACTCCTCAGCACACAAGGACGTGTCCCCCTTGTTTTCAAGGAAGTGTCACTGAACACAACAGGCAGACATGACACAAGAAAGTGGAAGAGTGTCACATTCCTGGATCAAAGCCTCAAAAATCAGGTCAAAAGAGACAGGGTGATCTCTGCCATGACCCAAGCAGGAAAGCCTGTCACACACAGGAAATACCTTCACCCTTTCTGGATTTCCCCTGCCCTTTGTCACTCACAAACAAAGCTGTTTGTGCACAAAGACCACAGAGAAGGAAGGCGTGAAACTCCTTTCCACATCACATGAGAAGGTTTTGTTACTGTGATTCACTCAGCCATTGCATTTTGTGCCCAAGGAGACCTCAGTGACCCTCAGAGGCTTCTATTGATTTTTATTCAAGCCCCAGGTTGAAAGTTTCACCATCACTTACTGATGGGTTTCAGGATCACAAGATGAATGAACTTGCCTTTTTGACTGGCAAAGAATCTGGTTTGCCTACTTCTCTCATGGCACTGAAGTCAGGTAACAACCCAGTGGATCCAACCCCATCCATGTAACTGCCATATTCTTCCAGGGACCCCATCTTCATTCCAACAAGTGCATCAATAGGCATTCAGGACAAAGCTTGTGGTAATTCCTCTAACTCTTGGTCCCAATGCCCTGATTTACAGTCATGCCAAAACCCTGCAACTCCCCACAGAATATCAGAGTGTTCTGAATTCAGATTTCAGATCCATCAAGTTTGAAATCAGATTTCAAATCCATCAAGTTAAGTAATTATATCTCAAAGCACTTGGAAAGAAGGGAGTTTAAGAGCTCAGAGAAGCTACCAAATATATATATTTGGTTCCCAACACAACCACGCCCACACAGACCACATAACCATCCTCTCAAAGCCTACCAGACACTGCTTACCCCAGGCAACTCCTCTGTGTGACACAGACAAGACAATTTCACCTCAAACCAGTGCGACAGCTGATGCAGGGACAAGAAGCACCTTTGCCATCACATTTGCACTCACAGGCATGGCAGAGACCATCACTGTGAATCAGAGCTGTGCTCCTTTTGCCTGCAGCCCCAGCTCTTCCAGCTTCTCTGCCACAAGCACAGTAGTTCCCCAGGGAACAACATAACCAGAGGAGTTCCAAATATGCTCCTGCAGACACCAGATTAAAAAAAAAATTGCCAACCTGCAGCTGCAGGAGTGTTGGAGCTCATTGTGTCATCTTCCTTTGCCAATGGGGAGGAAGAAGACTTTGTTTAGCTCTGAACACATCTGGTTCAAACAACTCAGCAAAAGACGAAACCCAGGAAACAAACTTATCTACCTGCCATGCCCTGCTGTCCACAGCAATTCTTGACAGTTTCTCAGTCCCAAGAAAAAAGGCCAAGGACACAGAGACAGATGTTTCTATGCCACCACAAACTAATCATCAGCTCCTGCCTTTATTAACAATCAGATGTCAGTGCTGTTGCAGAGAAGCACTGCAGCAGGGAGGAGGAGTGCTGAGAGAATGTCTGAGCAAGATCAAAAGGCCTCAGTCAGCAGCCTGAGCACAACCCCTGGAACAGGTGACCCTCCACCTGTGCCCAGCCAGCACCACACAGCCATTGTTCAAAGCTGAGAATGCCCCTTTGTGCTACAGCTCTGATCCTACACACCCAGAGCCTCTGTCTGTCCTGTTGTAGGAGCACTGTTCATCCTGCTTTTATATCCCATGTGTGCTTCAGAGAGCAGATGCCTTTTTCCAAGCACATTTCTCTCCAAGATGTGGAGTTGTAAGGGAATTAAACACATAAAAGAGTTTATGTGTAACAGGATTTCAAATAGCAATCCTAATGCACTGGAATAAGCTCTGGGATTTATTATTTAATTGACTGGAAAGCAAGAAAGAGAGAAGGATTTCCCTGTG